TGGCCCCGCCCAGGCTGGGGAGGAAGGGAGGGAGGGAAGGATCAAAGGAGGGAGGGAGGAAGGGAGGGAGGGATCGAAGGAGGGAGGGAGGGAAGGAGCATGGATGGTCCACCGCGGGGCTTGCTTTCATTATGCCGGGGTGGCCTTAGCCTCCAGCCGTTCCGATCCTTCCAGCCTACCTGTGCCCGGCGAAGGTGATTGTTTTGATTCCGTGCAAGGACACCTCTCTCTCAAACTCTTCAAAAAACTGCTCGGCGAAATTGAAAAAGCCTGGAGCGAAAGAGCGGGGTTGGATTGGTGGGCAGGAACAGGAGCGTAAAGTAAGGGGAGAGTGAGGAGAAAGGGATGGGGAAAGGGTGGGAGTAACAGGAGAAAGAAGCTGGGGGACAAGACACAACAGCAGACAGATTAAGGGCCCCACGACCAGCATTTTATGTATGGCGGGTGATGCCCCTTGAATAAACCTAAGATATTGACAAATACTCGCGGTTCATACGCGTGGAAGTAGTCTAAGAGCCCCGCACCACCCCAGTCGGGGCCAAGGATTCGCCGCTCTTCTTTTCCTTTCGCAGCTTGCTGTCCTCCCCCCCTTCCCTCTTCCTCACCTCGCCCACCCACACTGACCGTAATGGACCCTCCCTGGAAGCCCCCGCCGTGCCGTGGCCGCCGCAGCGGCGTAGCTGGTTTGAAAATCGGTTTCCCAGCCCCCGGGGAACATGGTCCCTCGGAAGATGACCACCATCCGTTGCTCCCGGGTGAAGGACTGGCCGATGGGCCACTTCCACCCCCCGGGGTCCTTCAGGAAGTAGACGTTCTGGTTCTCCCACTTGTGCGGTATGAGGGGGCGGAGGGTGTGGTGGTCCCCGTCTTTGTCCATGGTGAGCAGGTCGTCCGCGTAGGTGAAAGCGTACGCATACCTTGCCATGTTTGGACGGCGGGTGGGGGAGGAATGGAGGAAGGGAGACAGATGGCGAGACAGAACGCGGAACGAAGGATAGGAGGGATAAAGATAAGGAAGTTAGAAAGGGTTAGAAAGTCCGAGGCATTACACAATAAAGGCATAAATGTGAGTGCAGTTGTTGCATCGACTGCATGCACGTCGATACCGAGAGAGGTGAGCAACGGCAACCCTAGAGGCACAGAGGCACAGACATCCCACCCCCTCCGTTGGGAAAAGCCCCGTCCCTAGACACACGTTTCCAAACGGAACGCACATGTTGTAAATATGGGTTAAATACCAACCGTAAGTTGGCCTTTCTTTCTGTACCAGCTCGGGTGGTATCATCATCGGCATCGAACCTTGCCCGTCTTTTCCATTCAATGCTTCCAGCTCCATGGGCAGCGCACCCTCCGGATTGGGGCAATGATGCTCGCTCGTCAACTTCTCAAAATCGGGAGGACTCCGCATCAGAATCATCGCCGAGACCTGCATGACGGGGCACACCAGCCCAGATTCGTAAAGCAGACCGGCGGGGGAGCAGAAAGGCCAGTCCGGGTCCGGCGACGGGGAGAAGAAATTCATCGCACGGCTCATGCTGCTCATACCGACCACCTGCCCGTCGCTGCCGATGCCGGCGGAGAGCGAGGAGCCTCCTGCGTCCTTGCTGCCTCCTTCCATGGCGATGTCCATGTCTAAGAGGGTCTCAAGTTCGTCTAAGTCCCGTTGCCAGGCCTCGGATTCCCAAGGGAGTTGCCGAGGAGGCTGCCCCCCGGAGGTCGGTCTCGGCGTAGAAATGGGAGATGAATCGTCGCGGGATGCTGACTCTATGGGATTTCCAAGTGTTCGTGAGGCCAAATTTGCTCGTAACCGTTGTGAGTTACCATCCAGACGACCGGAATTTTCTGGGAATGGAGGATCGTGGGCTGTAAGCGTGGACGACGCTGCATTTTGGCTTGGGATATGATCGCCAAAAGGCCCTGTTTCCAATTCTCCTGGGGACAGTTGCTTCATGTTTTTCTCCTGTTGTCCATATTGATGCATTTTCCCTTCTGGTATCCTTTTCGATACTTCTACCTCTTGCCCGGAAAGGCTCGTATCACTAATGTCATTAGCTGCCATGACGAAGCTTGCACGCAGGGCCAACATCACCAGGAGCAAAATTCTGCACAGAGTTCCTGAGCATGGACTCTGTATTTTATCTGACATACTGTCAATATGTTCGTGGGAAAAATTTAGCAGATCACATCATGAAACTTGTAAAAAAGTACATGAGCATAAAATGATACGGATTCTACACGCAGATGTCCCTGAGAAATTCGACACGAATCCTCAACTGACAACCACGAAACAAAATTTCATGCAATTTTAGATCATAACTATGAATCAAAATTCAATATCACGGTGAAATAATATGCATATGTGCATGATACATGTATACCAGCCGTGAATGAGATGCCTCCTCAAGCTCAACGGTCGAAAAGCCGTTGACGATCAATTGAATTGAGCCGATGCTTCTTGGTGATGTTATGTCAGAAATACCTTTAAAATGTACCATGCTTCGGACTTTCATCCGTAATGTCAGGTACAAAGGTATAAAACACACACTTGAAACAGGGAGAGTGCGCGACTCAAGGTTGGAGAGAGAGGTTAAGGTTTTATGAGTTTTTCGATTTATGGTGGACAAGTTGAAGACATACTTCACGAGAGCTTCGAGGCAAGTTTGAATGCGCGTGAGGCCGAAAGTCTCCTTCAAAAAGAAGTTTCCCAATATATGAGCATTTCTTGCTACTTATCTATCAGCTGTATCAAAGCATTGCCTTTGTACACTTGAGCGCACCTTTAAAAAAACCAACGGTCCAGAGGTCTATGTATATTACCAATTACGTAATCGCCGACGCACCATTTCTAACGATTGATTGATATCTCTCGAATGATGCACGTCATGCAAAAGGAATTCAAAAGGCCACCCGATGAAAGACCAAAGTGACCCAAAGAATCAGGAGAGCGGGCTTTTCGGAAACCTGCTCTCATCGAAGGCAGAGGGGACCAGGCCGTGGCCTGACGACCCTTCAGAAGACAAAGAGAGACCTAGTCTAGGTCATTTGGAAACAGCGTTTCGTTCCATCGCATCAACATGCGTCCTGCCATGTTTCCCCCTGGTTCTTCACAATCATGCATCAAAATGTTTCTTTTTACGGGCCAGGCGTCCATTACGTATTTAGATTACAGCTACCGCCCTTGCCTGCTCCATCACGCCATAAATCGTCACGCCTACCGAGGAGCCACGTCAAACGAGGCTAAGATCGCATCCAAACGTGCGGAGGCATCCGGATCCTCCCAGCTGCTTCGATTCGCCGAGACCCAAGCCGTCAAGATACTTCCATCCGCCCTTAAATATGCCTTGGCTTTACTCAGCCTCACATCCGCCTGCTGCCTGATCAACGTGGGCGGGGACGGTTTGCGGGTCGTGCTCACGCTCTCACTGGACGGCGAGGCCCGCCGCTCCCCTCAC